AAAGAAAATTAAGAACTGTCACTGTGATTTTAAATCATAATATAGTAGCCATGTGTTTAAATGTATGATCCTACCATTTAGCTGTGAAAAAAATGGCTCAGTTGTGTACAAGGAGAGATTATTACTCTTTTGCCTTCTAACTGCAAATACAGGTTACTCTAATATTAAGAGTGAGAGCAGGATGTTTTGTTTTAACAACATCACAATTGTAAAAGTATTGTAATTTAGAAATGTCGCATTTAAAAGTGTCTTACTGATGTCAAAATTGTGTCACTGTAGCTTTAGAAAGCAGGCTGAAGATTATATAACATTGCAAGGAAACGGCCTTATTGTTAAGGATGAGAAAGCTTAGATAGGATATACGTAGATGATAGATCCTGCCCAGGAAAAGCTGTATTAATGTGTGTGTTCCTGGAATCTTCTGTTTTGCTGCTTTATTTATTTCTTTTTTCCTTTAGTTAGCAAAATTAAATGTAAGTAGAGCTCTTACAGAGGATGTAATGGAATGTCTGAACAGAGAGATCCCATGTGTATTCTTCTAACACAGTAGTTTTTCTAAATGAGTTTCATCAGTTTTGAAATTGTTCCCATGGCAGGAGTGCAGGGCTTTATTCCCTTTGTATTTTGTGTGTTTATTAGCAGGCTAAATTCTTTCACTGCATTCTGTGGCAGAAGGGTTTGTGTTCACAAAGCTCCCAGTCTGTCCTGGTGCTGATACAAAGAGTCTCTAGAAGTGATGATGCTATGAATTGTAATTGTATGTGTGCTGCTGTAAACATCCTGCCTTTGTCCTGCCTGTGCTGGGAGGTGTGATGTCACTGCTGTCCTGTCACCGGGCACTGCTGTGCCCACAGCCCTCCCTGGGGATGAGCCCCTGCCTTCGCTTGGGGAGAGCAGCAAAAGAGCAGCGGTTACATAAAACATCCCCAGTACTGAATATGGTGAGAGCTGTGCAGCTGAGAGAGATTATAGACACAAAATCACTGCATGGCAGCTCTCTAGTGAAAGGCCCACAATAATGAGGCTTTTTAGCCACTGACAATTAATAGTAAAATAACTGCTATTTTAGGCTTCCTCTAATGAAATGTCTTTGAGAAGCCTGTGTTCCTTACATGACACAACAGCTCAAACCCACCTCTTATCTCTGTAGCATGCAGATACAGAAAAATAGCTGACTTAATTCTCTCAACAGAATTAGCTAATGTGAAGTTCAGTTGCTTGACCTTACAAACCATAAGCTTAGCTTTAAGTTGCCTGCTGTGGTTATTACAAACTCATGAGCCTTTTTATATCTCAAGTTCAGAACGGTTGAAGTTCATGTGTGAATTTTGTATTTCAAAATAGAGTGACTCATATCCGCATGGAAATCAGCTGTTCCAAAAATATGGATTACTTAGAGATCTAAAGAAACTTAATTCCATATATATTTTTTAAATTAAATGACTATATTTATTGGTAAGTCTGAAGAATTAAGAATCATGACAACAAAATTGAAGTTTAATTGAATTTGTATTTTAATTTTAAGCATCTGTTGTGAAGAAGCTGGTATGTGCAATTAAGTAATCATATTTCAAAAATCTAAAACTTGAAATATTTTCTGAGCAGCTGACTAAATATGCTTTCAGTATTAAAGAAGAGCCTTTCTGAGAAGTGTGCTCTTCCATTCATGTTTCAAAAGCTAGATCAGACTAAAAATTTGAATGGTTAATAATTTTTAATAGTCATTCATGTGTGCTATACACTAATAATGCAGGCAGTATTGAGTCTGTGTAGGTTTTCTCACCTGCAGGAGGGCTTGTTTTCAGGGCACGAAATGAGGTGAGTGTAAACCATGAGTAAGAGCTGTCACTCAGAGCAGGAGGCAGCAGCACATTCAAGTAGCCACTGCAGTGTATTTAAACTCATAGTGGGATTGCTTGATCATCTCATCTGCACTGTCCCTGGCTGATGACAGACACACTGCAAGTATTTTGGAGAAGATAATTATGTAGGCCCCTAGACTGGAACAGATACTGGTTGCAATAAGGAGTGTCCCACTGTGCGGTTGTTCCTTATATTCTTCAGGTGGAGAAATCGAATTGTCAGAAAAAATTTAATATAGACAGGAAAGAGTTGGGTTCCACTTTCTAAGCCATCTTCAGATTCCAGATAAAGTTTAGAAGAGAGGACTAGCAGATGTTTGTCTTCTATAAATCTTTGCAATTAATAGACTTATATAGGTCTAGACTAACATAATTTTAAAAATACTTTATTAAAAAAGAAGCCAAAAAAGCCTGTTATCAGAATGGTGCATGCGCAGTCCAAATGTGACTGTATCTGGAGAATATTTATATCCTATTGAGTCTGAGGATTTTAAAGAAATAGATGTCTTGGTGAATCTTAGAAGGGATGTTGCTTGGTCTTTGTATTTCTTGATGGGAATATTGGTGTGATCTAAAGCCATGGTAGTAGTGTTTACCCTACTGCCTTTCTCTTAACTTCATGAGCTGGACGAAAAAGTTTGGGTCTCAAGAACTGCTGGGTCAAACAACTATTCAGGCAGTGGGGCCACAGTTAGCAGAGATTCCCTTGTGCTGTTCCCCCTGCACATCTGGATCAGTGTGCAATGAGAAAGTCTTGAGGTGAGAAGGTTGCACCAGTGCAGAAGACTTCACAAGCAGGTTGCATATTATTAAAAATTAGTGAGATGTTATCAGTACAAAACTTGAAATACCTTTAATGACGTTTAGCTCCTAAAAACAACAGTTTAGAAACCCAGTGGCAACAGGGAATTCAGCCTTGTTTCTCCCACAGACATAGAGGTTAATCTGTTATGTGAAACTGAGGAGAAAATACACTCTTCTCCAGCCCTGTGTTGTGTGAAGGAGGAGGGTGATTAAAGCTCATCGATAAGCCTGCCTTAGCTGTAAATCTTGGCAAGCTGGACTTCCTTCCTAGATCTGAGATCTTAGACCACAGTTAATCAAGAACAGATACTCAAAGGTCTCTGCTTTGAGGAGGAACAGCACAAGGGAATCTCTGCCTGAACAGTGACCCAGCTGTTCTTGAGACCCGAACTTCTCTGTCCAGTTCATGAAGGTAAGAGGAAGGCAGTAGGGTAAACACTACTACCATGGCTTTAGATCACACCAATATTCCCATCAAGGACTACAAAGAGAAAGTGAAGTGTAATATAATGTGCTTTGAAGTGAAGATGAAAGATGTGAAAACTTTGTCTTTTTCATAAAGCTACTGGGAATATAATGTATTCCTTTAACAAGGTTTTAGCCGTGATTTAGAAAAAGAATGTACATAAACTTGAGGGGATTGAACTTGATAAAAAATAAATTTTTGCAGAGGCTTCAGTTTACAGGTGGGATTTTAGACCTCTTTATCTAGAACTTCTCTGGAGCATGGTGTCAGCCTGCATTGCCAAAGCTGATGTCCTTTAGTCATATGGCTTTGTTTATGGGGTTCAGCACTTCAGATAGATGGTAAGTTAGGAAATATGCTTTATTAAAAGCCAGTTCTGACATGCTTTCTTCATGTATTTTTCTCATTTTCAAACCTTGCCTGTTAACTGTTGAAGAATGAAGCATAATTTTTTGTCTCTGGAATGAGAAAGATGGATTTTTTTTTTCCCTTTTCAACTGCAGTGAGGGAAATGAATGAAAGTTCCCTCGTTATTTTGTAAGAAGATAACATCTGGGTGATAAAACTGAGGTTCAGCACTTTGTCCTCAGCTACTAAAATTTAATTGAAAGGGTGAGAAGCGGAGAATGCCTTAAATAACTAAAGCAAAACAAGTAAAATCCACACACATCAACAACAAGAAAGGACACTTACTGTTGAGTTGGAAGCCACATGGTATTATTCCATCCTCACAAACTTACCAAACCTGTGTGAGGATAAAGTCTGAATCGGTTTTTAGAATGTCTGACCAAGAACCAAGGGCTTTCTGCTTGCCTTTCTTGTAACAGGGGTCTGCCAAGCACCTTTGGAAGGGCTGCATGCTGTGGCACCTTAGTGGCACCCACAGACAGCTGTGGGTCACATCTCTTCCAGGGATTCCATCTGCCCAAACCATGGCTTGTTGTGGGAAATGGAGCATACCTGTAATCCTGTGAGCTCCTTTGGTGTCACCTGGCTGTGTCCTGGCAGCTGTCTGCCAGCTGTGGGACACTGGATGGAATAATGGAGTTATGCTGTGAGCTCTCCTGGATTCAGGGTATTGCATGAGAGAGCTTCAACAGTGCAATGTCTTCAATGAGCCTTGGTGGTACAAAGATAAAATGACAGATTCTATCTGGGATAAAACTGATCTGCCAGTTAAATTGTCCTCCAGGGTAGGACATTGTATTGCTTTTGGCTGTGGGTCAGTGCTAGAAGAGTTACAATAATCCTGTTTGAGGAGGAAATGTAAAATGCCAGCTTTTATCACTTTCACAACTTTTCAAGAAGCTGTGTTTTTATTAAAAATCAGCATCAGTTTTATTCTTTGACATGTACTACTTGTGATTCCATTTTTTGCTAAATATCACCCATAGCACATTCTTAAATTTCTCCCTCCTGCCCCACCTTCCCCCAAGGTTTTAAATATTTCAGCACTGTTTCTTATGTATATCTATCAGCTGAGGGATAAAAATAGGTTGAAATACTAGAAGAACCAGTTGGCTGGATTTCTTTCAATTTCTTTTGCATTAGCTAAAAATGTGGTGTTATAAGCTTCTGTGTTACCTGACATAGAGTAAGATTAAAGGTGATATTAGCACTGTTTATGAAATTTTGGGGGTAAATGATTTTTTTTAAATCTTTGGGATTTTTTGTTTATTTGTTGGGTCTTGTGTTTTGTTTTTTTTTTTTTAACAGGAATCTTACCCCTCTTCATCACCAATATGGTTTGTAGAATCAGATGACCCAAACCTGACTTCAGTCTTAGAGCGTTTAGAAGATATTAAGAAGAGCAATACTCTGGTGAGTGAAATATTTTGGTTATTTTGGACATTTGGTTGGGATTGTGTGTTTACTTGGCTTTGTCATATTAACAAACAGATCAGCTGGTTCAGTTTTAGGGTTATTTGGGGGATTTTATAAATACAAGTTTTTCTGCCAAAAAAACTTAGAGAAGCCAAAAGTAATACAAAATATTTGAGGCAAGAAGGAAATGATAATTTCTTTTCGAGAGTAAGCTTTTAAGTAAAGTTTCAGCCCCAGTAATTAGTGTGATGTTTTTTGAAAATAATTAAACAGTGAAGTGGATGAAAATGTTAAAACTGCTGAATAAGGCAGCTGTTGTAGAGTTTTCTTTGCACAGAAATCAATTGCAGAGGCAAAACTTTGTACTCTTGAGAATGTGTATTCTCCAAATTATGAGTCTTAATACCAAGAATTCTTGGTTTCTTTAATTCCTTCCTTCTTTCAAAGGAAACTTGACCTGATAGCTTCTGGTTCATCAGAATGTTCCTTGGGTACTGATACGTTTAAGCACTGTTGTGGCTTCGGACAATTGCTACTTAAAGGAAATCTTTGTATACAGATTCTGATGGCTGTTTTGTATTTCAGAAAACTCAAACATTGTGTCTTGCTTAAATACCCTTTTCATGTAGCAATAGGAGCTCAGGGGAAAGGCACATGAATATAAAAATTAGCTTTCTAGTCTGTAGGAAACTGTCCTTGAATAGTGCTTGGAAATAAATTTCAGTACAAATGCAGTTTGTGCCACAAAAAGGAGTATTGCAGCATACTGACAAACTCAGGTGATTTTTATTAATAGATGATATTAACATTTTGTGTTTATTTTCGTGGACATGAATGTGATACATAAAAAACAAATCACTCTGCAGAATCCTGCTTGTTGCATGAATTATGTGCATAGTATTTATCTGGTTTGGGAAAAATTGGGAATGTTCTTTCTTAGGAAAACCTACTACTTGTCATGTTTCCTGGGAATAATGTTCATCTAGGATATCTGGCTGGCCTTACATAAGAATGTACAAGTGTCTTTTTCTGAAGATAGTTTAGGATGCATTTGACTTCTAGCAAAAATAATTGGGAAACTAATAAAAGTGACTCTTTGTGGGCCTTCCCATAATTAAAAACAATTGTAGAGGGACGTTACTGCTTTCATGCATTTTGTTGGCTCTGATTGCACAAGATGTACATCTCTATTTTCTAATTCAACCTAAGATTTAGACTGGACTATGTTCAGAAGAATATTATAAATCTTAATCTTTAAACTTTGCCTAGAAAGGGGCAGTAGCAGAAAATCTGGCCAAATGAACTTTTTGCTTAAAAGACACTTTTCAGAAGATTGTGCAGCTTGAAGCTGGTGTGGCTGATATTCAGTCTAAAGGTTCTGAACAAGATATTTCCTGTGTGCAGCTGCCTGCAAAAGGTTGGAAAACTTTGTTGTAAACATGCATGGGACTTGTTTTGCTGAATTGCATGTGCACACAGACTGCTTATGTAGCTGGTAAGAAAACAGCTTCTGCTATCAAGATTGTACTTGCCCATGTATAAAAGCTGATGGGTTGATGTAATAGACACCTGTGATGGCCCATTGGTTTCTCAGGAATCCACCCTGATTTGTGCTATGCCAAGGTGAAGGCAGATGGGAGTGGTTGGAGAGACAAATATTCACACTACAAAATCTGATTTCATTTTTGCTCCAAAGACACGGCTTGTGACTTTTTAATTGTTTCTTTTTTTCTCCGTACAACTCTTCCCTCCCTTTCAATGGCAAGGAGGACTTACATAGAGACTTTTTGCAGCTAAGTAGGAGGGGATAGGGGAGTACATGTAAAAATCCAAAGGCTTCTAATTTATCACAGTCTCATAAAAATTCGCTTTGTTTAATTTTTAATAATCTAGAATGTTACAGACAAGCTTTCATTTAGTTTACTGTAGGTAAAGTATCATTAGTGCCATGTTACTCTAAACTCAAAGTTACCGGAGCAGTCAAGTTTTGAATGGAAGAAGGCATAGGACTCTTCCAGGAGCTCAGCTGTGCTAAAAGCAGTGCTAGCACATGTACCCTGGTTTAGCCTTTGGTATTCTACTGCCCTTTCTACCTCCTTTGTAACATGGAACAGGTGCCAGCTGTTGGGAAACTGAAAAACATGCTCTTCAGGCATAAATGTTTGAAATGTGGAAGCCTTGTCATTTGACATGGTAACATGAAAACTGGTTTATGATGCTGAAATCATAAATGTGTTTCCTGGAAAATCTTCTGTGGGTCTGAAACTGTTAGTTACCTTGCACCAGCATGCTGCTTTTACTATGAAACTTTGTCAAAACACTAAAAATGTTGAAAGGTTATTAAGAATGTGATCAGCATGGATATCATCAGGTTTGGACAGTTCAGCTGCTTGGTTGTCAATGTTAGGCAAGTAAGCAGATGAAGAGGTTACAGAGTTCTTTCAGCCCCTAGTGTCTCCTGAATTTCCTTCTGAAAATCAGACATTCTTTAGATTTTCTAAGTATTAAACTGCCATCTGCCTTCTAGTGGCTGTGCTATGCAAAAGAGAAATCTTACTATGATTTCCCTAGTTCTGTTTAAAGTGATGGAAGTTACGTGACGTGAGTCTGAAACCTCAAACCTTATTTCATGAGATGTTAAGTATAACTCTACACCGTTTGGATGTTTGCTTCTTAAAGAGAATAGGGAAATGGGCTGAAATTCAGAGAGCAACTTTAATTCTCACAATCCAGACTTTAAACTTGCATGGAAGATGTCAAACGTAAGTACACAATTCCTGGCATAAGTATGTTTACAACTTGGGTAAGCTGCTGTCTTGAAATACACTGCTTCTGTGTTAATATTTTAGATTAAGTCCCACATGGAGGCATTTCAGGGAAGAATGTTGTCTCTTGCAAACTCCCAGTGCAGCAGCTGTTTCTGTAGTGGGAGTCAGAGACGAAATGCAGGAATCCGCTTTGCTTTAGTCTGAAACTGCCCGAGGCTGCAGAGTGTGGGGGAGGCCAGGCGAGGTATTGTCACTGTTACCTGATAACCAAGTAGTGGCCACATTCCAAGTGGCAATTATTACTTCCCTCTGTTTCCATTTTTATCCTTCTTCAGCACTTTCTCAGTGGTAGGCTAAGATTTATTGAAGCATTTATTTTTATATAGATATTGTGGGTGTAGGTAGAGACACATAGAAAAATTAAGTCTTTCTGTGCTTAAACTGTACTTCTTAAATTCATTTTTCTTGGTAATCAGGAAACATGGTGTTTCATAGTGAGCCCAGCAAGATATTAATATCATCAAAGGCATCCTAAAATTGTTAATGCTTTCATACTACATTAAGAAGATATCTTCATACATAAAAAGGCTGCCTAGTGTAGGCTGGGTTTAAAAAGAATAATTTTAAACTCTTTTCGGATGTACAGAACATTAAGATAGGGAACAAAATTCCAAGAGGTGTTTGTGTTCTAAACCAGCATTATGGTGTCCAAAAGAACCACCAACTTCTAAGAACTCCTGAAGCATTAAAAATTATAGAGGATGTATATTCTAATGGTGTAATTTTTGTTATTTTGATATTCATTATAATCATTATGGCAAATTTATAGATGTGTTGTTTGGTCACTTGAGGGTTTCCCTTCTGCAGACTCTTCACATCACTCCTTTACCCTGTAGGTTATGAGTTCTGATTGCTGTTTACTTTGTGCTGTAGGCAGTTTGTATTCCAGGAAAACTACTAATAGCTCACTTTTCTTCAGTAGCCTCTAAGTGTGTGTGTTAAGCATTCATTTTACATTAGTTAAGCCTGTGAAGTGACCCTGGAAATACATTTAAATTATTAGTACGTGACAGAAATCTGCTCTCCCTTTTGGTAGTCTGTTCATGTACATACCAACACATACCAAACCATGCCAGGCTCTGCTTAGAGCACAGGGCTGGATCAGATGCTTTCCAGATGCTACTTTCAACTCAAATTACCCTGTGAATTTTCATACAGATGAGCAGAAGATAAGGGATAACAGTGATGGTGATCCATAGCAGAAAGATCAATAATATTAAATTAATTCCTGTGGAGGAAAAGTGTAGCAGTAAGGAAGAAGGGTGGAAGGATTGTACAGACAGGATCAGCTTCTTGCTCTGCCACCACCTTTGCAAAATGTAGACACAGATTGCAAATAAAGCACCTGATCTGTAAAAATGATCTGCAGTAGGAGTTGCATTAAGCTAGCCCTGCAGTGTAGAATCCTGCCAATGTAGAACCCTGCTCTCAGCAGGCCTCCGCCTCCCCCTTCATGATGAAATGGTGGTTGTGTGCTGAAGCATACCAGAATTGATCTGCCACAAGGCTGATAAGCTGCCACACAGTAAGTGTGATCTGTGGTGCAGTGGAAATGAGAAGGTGAAGAGCTGCTGGAGGCCCTTGTCAGGCACAGCTGTAACTCAGCCCAAGCTGTGCCAGCACCATGTTGTTTTGAGGGCACTCCCGTTCCTTGCTTGTGGTGCTGTGCTTGGAAGCAAGGGAAGCTTACAGTGTGGTAGGGCCTGGCTGCAAAAATCCCTTCTGAATTCCAGTTCAGATGACAGAACTATTTGTGGGGAGGAGGGGGAATGAAGGAAGCAGGGCAGGAAGCAGTTCTTAACTCTCCAGCCCTTATTGTCTCTCTGTCAAGGCAAACTAATACTGTGTTCATCTGCTTTTCCAAGGTCAGTGCTAATTGACCAGCACAATTGTGGCAGTCTTCCCTCACTGCTTAGGTATATTTTTGTATGATTCAGAGAGACTTAAACAAATTATTGACTCTGTGAGAAAAATTGCAGCTCCTGGAATTGTATGGTTTATGCTCCAGCTCTCCATGAGGCAATGTTTGTGCAGAGAAAAAGTTTCTCAAGAAAATGTGTAGCAGTGAGTGCAACTTTAAGCGTCTTGCACATGCTGAAAATAATAGTTCTAAGACCTGTGGCCTATCTGGCAACTAACTTTTCGATTGATTAACCTGATTCCTGTCTGCTGAAAGATTTCGTAATGCTCTGGGTACCTGGGAAGCTTCAAACAAGCGTAGAACCTTAATGCTGATGAGAAACGTGATTGTTACAGAAGGGCTTTTGCCAAAACCTATCATGTCTCATGTATATACTCCTAAGAAATGTGGTTCTGTTGCCCCAGGCCTTTTGGTGGTATCTGCTTTATTTTTGAGTTAGGTTGATTATCTGCTTTATTTTTTGTTTGGGTTCACTGTCATGAATGATGCAGAAACAGCAGACATGGTGTGATAGTGTTCTAATGCAGGCTGGTACCTCAGTTCATGGCCTCAGATGGATAAATAACATTCCTATGAAACACAGTGTGGAATTCTGCTGTAGAAGGGAAAAGCACTGAAGCTTTCAGATAGCATAAGGGCAACATTTTCCTATCATTGCTAGTGATTAGGACTTGGAAATGAGTTCTTAACCCTGGAGAGACTGAATTTTTCACTTCCAGTGGGGTAAGGTGAGAGTATTTAAACTGGCCGAGTAGCAAAGCCTTAGACATGTATTTTGGAGTGTGTGTGCAGAAATGACTGTCTTGTCCACTGCCCTTGACAAATGGCAAGATAAACTCTCCTTGGTTTTTGGAAGAAAAGTCTATAAATGAATGTATAATTTCTGCAAGCTTCATCTAGGTTAGTATTTTTCAAAATATGAGATGCTGACCCTTTTATAAATGGATTTTGCAGTCCTTTTTTGTTTTCCTGATGCAGCTGTGCAAAGACCTTGGAAAGGTAGGAAGTGCAGTAGTATAATCTTTCATGTCTTGGCCTTAGCTAGGAATCTGAGGCTGCCTAGAGAAAGTGAAAAGCTGTAGAAATGAACTTCATTAGTGTAGTGATCAAAGAGCAAACTTAATAATTGTTTCTGCAGAAGTAAATTTTTTTCTGGCTTACATTAGAGTGTGAAGTGCTGCATAGTTTGCAGTTAACAGAGCACAATCAATGAAACAAGCTGGAAAAACAAGTCAGAAATAGTAACAGATTATGCCTCACCCTGACACAAGATACAGCAGGCAGAGTGCCTGGTCTCCTGCTCAGAGCCCACCTGGCTCCTGGGACTTGGACAGGGTTGGTCCTGCTTCTGCTGCCTCACTGGTGTACCCTGTAAAGGAATTCAGGGTATGGAAAACTGGACTGTTCCTCCTCGTTTTTTTAAGATGGGAAATGGGAACATGGACCATTTTGTCTCATGGAATGTGGCCACTTGCTTATTTCATAATGATGTGTGGCTCAGACACCTATGCTTGGAATAGATGAAGCTGTCAGATGAAAAATGGTTTTTCCGCTCATGGCTTTCTTCTTGGATATAGGAAGATGAATGGGAGTCATTGTTAACTTGCCATGTCCTTGAGTTTCTATTGTGGGGACTTTACTACAAAGATTACAGGGGAAATTTATTCTGGTCTGAGCAGATTTAAATGCTGTGCACTGACTTTGAGTTGATTATCAATGTGTGAAGAAAATTCAAAATCTATTTCCTCTGTGCTTTGATTTAAATAAACGTATCTATGTTTTCTTATTGTTTATAGCTTCTTCAGCAGCTGAAGCGATTAATATGTGACCTCTGCAGATTATATAATCTTCCTCAGCATCCAGATGTTGAAATGTTAGATCAGCCGTTGCCAGCTGGACAGGTAAATTAAAAAGCTATGGACACCTTCTTAGGCCAATAAAGGAATTGGTTTTTTAACTTCCAAGAAGCAAGATAATGGGAATGATTAAACCTTGTGTAAACTAGAAGTGAGAGATTAAGTACTTTTGCATTGTGGTGTCTTCAATTTTAATTTTGTTTATAAATCCATTTAATAATAGTGTGATAATATTACACAATTCCCTTTGAAGTTTCTGTATCACTGAAAGGTGTGTATGTTATACCAGTGCTGTCAAGTTAAATTTTCTCCTAAACACTGTTTAGGCCAATCTCCGTGCACTTGAAGTGCTTCCCAAACTTACTTTTTCTGAAATATTTGGCTCTTTGTTGAAGGGCATGTATTTCACAGTGTGCACTTGGATGAACTACTTTTGTTTTCCTTCTTCAATCCCTTGCAGAGACATAGAATATCAAGGGCATATGTTACTTTGAGTAGGGAACTGCCTTGCTTACTTCTTGTGCACTTGAAAAATTAAGAATTTTGAAGGTCTGTGAGGTGTTCTTCTTGACCAAAATGTTGTGTATTGTGCTGAAAACAGAACTGGCAACAGACAGTAGTTGTTATTTTCTGATTTTTAGTAAGATTATGGGATCTTCTTTTGTTTGTACACATTAAGATGACATGATTGCTAAAATACTCCTTTAGAGTAACAGATGCTTTCCTGTGGTAACAGTACTATAGTAATGAAAAATAACCTGCTTAAATTTTGGTCGCATGCCAAATTGAAATCCTATAGGTCTTTTCTCTGAGCCACCCACTCAGCAGTACAGCTGTAAGGCAGTGGGCTGTACTGTTAAGGGTGTAGCTTTGTGAAGGGGCTCACATGCTGTGAAACTCAAAAACAAACTCATGAAAGGTTTCTTAGCCAGAAATGTCAGACAGTTTCAAGTGAAATAAGAGGGGCCTTAGTAACTCTGACCAAAGATTCATCTGGTCCCATATATTGTCTAGAGCAGTGTCATTCCTTCTTTGCCAAAGGAAAAGTGAGCAGAGGACAAGCATATCAGAATGCTCCTGAGTATTTCTGCATCTCAGACTTCCTGAGCTTGGAGTGGTATCCTGAAAGAGAAAGTTATATTCAGTGTATTGTTTTGTTATTTCCTCAAATAGGCTAATAGCAATGCCTACATGATGATACCAGTGGCTGCATGGAAGTTACAGGTAGTGAGAAAAAGAATTTGTTAGCTTCTAGACGTCTAAAGTTCATTCAGTTTTTCTTTCTAGAGGTGTAGCATGTTAATGGATTTTAGTCAGAGCCATGATCTGATTGCATGGTTAAGGGATGGTGGGTTGTAACCCACTTGATGTGCTTGTTGCATTTGTCACTGTCTCAGAATAGGATGTTCCTTATCTGAATTTAAAGCTTCTATTTACAGCTTAATGGGAATTGAGACATTCTGTTTACTTTTGCTTTGTGAAAATGTCTCTTCACTGTCATATTCCAGGAAAGCATCTTTATGCATCTTACCCTTACCAGCAAAGAACTGAAGTTTGACATGTAACTTTTGCATTTACTGCTTCTCTTGGAGAGTAGACTTGCTGATTTTGAAACCAAGAAGCATATGCAGAATTTATGCAGAACTTTCATTGTTGTTTTGCAGAATGGGACAACAGAAGAAGTTACATCAGAGGAGGAGGAAGAAGATGATATGGGTGAAGTATGTCTATATATGAGATTGTTGTGCTAATCTAGTAGAATTTTGGCATTTTGCTCTGTAATGTCTGGCTAATAATTAAACCAAACTGTAAAATGTGACCTCCCTGGAGTTCAACAGAAAAGATAATTAAAATTTGGATGTTTACCTGAATGTCAGCTTTCCCTTCAACCAGAAAACTAGTGAAATTTTCTTCTTAAACCTAGATCTCAGCTGTGAGGTACTTGGATACAGAGAATTGGACATCTGTTTGTGCTTTAGTCAAACAATACATAACATTGTGTGCCAAATCAGTAAGTTTTTACATTGTTAACTCCTATTTCAAGCAGCATGTGAACTGGCTCTGATACAGTTGGAAGTGCCTCCTAAATTGAAGCAGACTTGCTAAGAGTAAATCAGTTTGCTGACTCATTGAATGGGTGAGGTAGTTTTTGACTGTAATAAATTGAAGGGACTGGAAGAACATTGAAACAGACACACTAAACTTTTATGTCCATGTCTGGCAACATGGTGCTCCCTTTAAAGAGCTTTTTAGTTGTAAGAATCACCCTTTTTGCTTGCTTCTGCTACATTTTAGAATAGCTCCAAGATGCTTGCTTTCTACACCACTATAGACTGCCTTATTGTAGTAGAACTGTTCCGCTTACTTCAGATTTAGATTTTTAATT